AGAAACAGTTTTTCTAACGTCAACATCAGACCTATGTTTTTATTCACAAAAAAACATAGGTATTATTTGGCGTATTTGGTTTGTGAATAAAAATATTCTTGCCCATAATTTGATAGGTAGAGGCAGGGGCGCTGCCAGGAATCTTGGGCCCCCTGACAAAAAATTAGATTTTTGGAAATATGGGGATATATTACATTTCTTGTGTACCTCTTGCCACGTCTTCTTTGAGAACAAGAAAACTGGGTTATTCAGCCTATTCCCATTGGGTTAGTACCTCAACAACGGTAAATGGGGAGGTAAATTCTTGCTCAATTAAAACCCAGTCGAAATCAGGTTTTGTCTCTGTCCAGGGTTTTCTATTGCATAGACCAGGGGAGCCCAAAGTGGGTCCTGGAGGGCCGGCATGCTGCCTGTTTTAGTTCTCTCCCTGGTGGTAGTAAAATCTTTTCAGCATGTCAATGCTCCTCTTAGGCCTCTAATGAGCCATCATTTGATCCAGGTGCGTTAAACCAGGGAGAGACTAAAACACGCAGGATGCTGGTGTTCTGTCAGTACCATGTCCGCGCATTAAGAAGTCCGACCATCAGCGGAGTTGTCAGTTCAGCATACGCAACAAGTTATGACGAAAATAAGTCATTAAATTGTTTATACTATGATAATTAGATAGATATACATGCGTTGTCGTGGTTTCAAAGTGTATAATGATCTACGTCATGATTCTATGTTGATGATGAAATAAAATCATATGGTAATGACAGCGTATGCATGTCAGAACTAAGGTATGACTATCTGACAACGTATGCTGATCTGACAGAACACCGGGCCTCCAGGACCCACTTTGGGCATTTCAAAGGCGATTTATTGTATCTTAAAAGAATTTGTGGAGGAATACATATTGGTATCATTCCAGTTTTCTCACACATAACCTTATAGCTGGAGAGACAACAATCAGTTAACCCAGAAACTGTGTGGACCATGAGAGGAAGTTGGAATACCCAGGAAGAACCCAGGACCTTTTCTCTGGGTTCCTCTCCGATGTTCTCCAGGAACACTGTTAGCTGACCTTTCTGAAAAAACCCCAACTAAAGCACCTTTAGCCTGCCCTGTTCTCTGTCCACTAAATATGAGCTAACAGGAAGTCTCTGAGTGATGCTGCTGTCTGCTTTACTACAGGCAACATAGAAACGGAAACTATTCATTAATGTGTTCATAAATTGAATCCTTGAAGCTCCAAGAGATGTTGATGATTTACTGTATATGTTCAACTTCATCCATCAGCATGCTAATTTAACTTAAATTACTTCTTACTCTTATTGTTATTTTCCAACAATAAAACCCTGATGTGTATTCTGGTGACATTTTTTTTTTCAGATCTGATTTTGCGCATGCTGGACTACGACCCTAAAAGCAGAATCACGCCATTTTATGCCCTCCAGCACAATTTCTTTAAGAAAACGACAGATGAAGGAACGAACACAAGCTCATCTACATCCACCTCTCCTGCCATGGACCACTCCCATTCAACCTCCACAACTAGCTCTGTTTCTAGCTCTGGTAACGGCCCACACTCTCCATCTGTTCTCTGTCTGCAGCTAGATCTGCTCTGACTGATGCTCCTCATCTACCAGAGGGATCCTGGAAGAACCTTTACAGCCATCTAGCACATTTACTGTCACTCAGTGAATCTCCTCCCTCTGTAGTCAACCAGTCAGAACTAAGCTTGCACCTTTAGCCTTAACAGTGCAGTAAAATATCATCACCAGGATATCTGACAGAGTTCCTAATTAAAGCAAGATGGCTACCTTAAATAATACTGTGGCTTAAGATAACATGCATTCTCCATGTTGTTTGAAAAAAGATCCTGCAGGGTGGGTCTGCTATGACCCTGACTCAGTAGTCACAGACATGCATCAGCTGACCTCTGGTTGGATAAAGCCACAGGTAGAGGTAGTGATGATGTCATGATCTGAGCAACCAGCTAACTGCAGGACTTCCAGCTGTAAACATCTGGGTAATAAAGAGTGATACAACTGAACTCAGAAGGACTTTCTCAGCTAACAGCAGGATCTCTACACTGAGTTTGTCCTCCATTATTCTTTGTAAAGAATTGTCGGTAGGGTCTATATCAGTTATTAATTGACCAAAATGAATGAATAAGTCAGTGTTTGAAACCCAGTGATGACACTGATGTGAGAATCGTCTGTTTTCAGGTGGCTCCAGTGGTTCTTCCAATGACAACCGTAACTACCGTTACAGCAACCGCTACTACAACTCTGCTGTCACCCACTCAGACTACGAGATGACCAGTCCTCAGGTACACATTTCACACCTCTCTCACACTGCTCCAATCTGACACTCTGTCCCCTACTTTCACACTGCGCCTCTCTCTCTACTGTCATAGTAGTCATGCTAATCTATGTTTTCTCAAACAAAGCAAATGTCTGCTGTTTTAATACAATCTGTGTTATTTACAGCCAAGAATCCAGTGCATGTGGTTAAGGCTCTTATTGTGAATGTTTGCAGGAAGTTGTGTTACTATGCGTTTCAGGCAGATGCTCAGTGAACTGCCTTAGGATGATATCAGTATCCTGGCGGTTCTCTGGTGGTCTGAGAAATGAGACAGCGCAGTAACCGGACTGGCCTGCACAGAGTTCAGCTAGGTCAGCTAAGCATTAGCTTCTGAAGGCAGAGCACTACTCTTGTTAGAAAGTCCACTTTGTGCTGGCTGAAATGGTCTGGCTTCTTTATAGGAGTCATTAATTAATATGGTTAAAACTGAAACTGGTTGAAGCCCTAATCTGAATAGAGTCTCCCCCTCAACAGGCTCCCTCCCAGCAACAGATGAGGATGTGGCCAGGCAGTGATGGTGGAAGTGGGGGTCAGGACCCAGCATACACCCAGTTGCTGCTCCACAAACCAGCTGCCACCCAGCAACACCAGCGCCACTTTTTGGACCCGCCTCACCATCCACACCCGACTTACTCTCACCATGGAAATGGTGGGCGTGGACTACGGCAGGGCGGCCAAACGGGCCTGGGTGGAGGAGGGGGTCAGCAGGGATCCTCTCCCCAGATGAGTGACAGCATGGATGTGGGCGTGTCCCTAGGGCTGCACCACCTGGGGGCAGTGTCTTCCATGGAGGCCTCTCAGTTTGGCTCTGCATCTCTGCCCCTCGCTCTGCCAATCGGACTGTCCGCCTTCCGGACTCGGACGGCCCCCACAGCCCCAGGGCCGCAAGCCCCGCCCCCAGAGGACTACTACCCTGCCTCCAACAACAATAACCCTGCTGCGGGGGGCAGAGGGAGGCCAGACTCAGACGAAGGGCCAGCCAACTCTTGATAAAACCTGAACCACGCCCTAAAGCCATACAATTTTAACTCCAACTACTACGAATACACACACACAGCCAGAGTTCAGAGACAAACTGGTGAATCTGGAGCTGGAGGAGACAATTTCTTCTGCATGGGAGGAGGAGAGAGGAGGAGAAGGATGCGGGGAATACTTTCCTTTGGTCCTGCTTTTGTTTGTTGTCGTTGCAACTGTAATTGGAAAGGAATGATTGACAAGTGTGTTTTTACAGATATTCTTGATTAATATTATTTGATTTTCTAAGGTTTGAGGAGTTTAGTGTTCTGTTTTGTAAAGTCTGGAGAGGAGCGAAAGGATGAAAAGGGGCCTGGTTTTCCACTCTGCTCCACACTGAGGCTGGAGCACCTTCTTCACAATGTTCACTTTACTGTAGTCACATTTACATGTCCTGGTCATCAGCAGCATTGACACACACATACATACACACATACACATACAGCTGTTTCTGTCATCTGGAAAATGGCCGACCCATTTCCAGAACCCAACCAGATCAGCTGACCACTTTAATGTTGTCTCTGCATTATAGGACACCTGAAGTTGATGTCATTAGGCAGACATACATTGTGTGTGTGCATGTGTGTGCGTGCATGCATCGGGACAGAAATGGGTGTGTGAGAAAGAAAAGGCCGACATATTCAGGACTCAACGTGTTGCTGTCAGCCTGACGTTGCGGCTGGCCTGGTGGTGCTTGAGGCTGGCGGAGAAGCTGATGGGACAGTGACGCCTCCCAAGAGTCAAACGGATCACCTTCTCTTCCTCATTTTTTCCTGCACTCTTCTTCATCTCCTTCTTCTCCTGCTGTGTTTCTCCTCCAGACAGCTCCTCCTCTCTGTGCTGCTAATCACCATGACAACTGGTCTGGATTGCTGCTAAAGATCCAACACAGATCAATAAAGAAATGAAATAAAAACAAATAGAAACAGAAATGAAAAACTTTTTAACCCTTGTGCTTAAGAAAAAAGGATGAAGTAAGAACCACTGCATCTCAATGTATTTATTACTATTTAACAAGAAAAACAAACTGAAAGTAACATTTTTTTCTGCTCTTCTTTGTTTGGTTGCCTTCTTTCTGCAGGTAAGCTCTGATTGGCTATTGTGACAGTGACTGGTGACATGGGAATGTCGCTGGTTGTGGGGGCTGGGTGAAGGGGAAGGGTTGGGGCAAAATAAAGTTGGATATATAATACGAATAAAGAGTATACTTTTGCACACCAAAGTCAACAAACATCAGATCTCTGCCTTTCTTCCTAATCGTCTTGAACATGCCTTTAACTAGGACATCATACATCCTGTATCTCTACACAGACCACCGGAGCTGCAGCTCTGACTTTGTGGCATTAATGATGAGGATCACCTGATATGGAAAGAATATTAATTGTCAGAGTTGACACCTATTCAAATAACACAGGAAAGACAAGAGAAAGTTAGATTCTTAATACTTGCGAGGAGAACAGACAGAGATGTGCTTTCAGTTACAAATCTCCTACTGCTCTGAAGCACATTTGCCTGCCCCTCTCTTTAGGATCCCTAATCACAGAGAGCGCTGTAACTCTAAAGGGAGGGGGAAAACACTTCATCACACAGTCACAGCGCCAGATTATCACTAACTAACAACACAATCTATCTCGCACTAGCTTATCCAGTTCCTGACCCAGGATCAAGCAGGACAAGTTGTACATCTTCACGGCGATGGTTTTATAGCTATCTAAGAGGTCAAAGCAGGGCGTTCTGTGAAGAGCTGATGGCACTGCTCTTCTTCAGAGAGGCCCTCTGAGAAAGCAAACCAGAGTGATTAACAATACAGACATATTTCTTAAAAGATATGACTAAACCAAATAAGAGTACATAAACTAAGAACATATAAAACAGTATAACAAATAGTTGATAATACAATTTACCTAACATTAATTGAAAATGGAAAGTTTTTTTTAAATTCATAAACAGAAGGCATCTTGTGTAAGATCACTGCACAGGAATCAAGATACTGAAGTTTTGAAGAACTGATTTTAGAAGAGCTTCCTGCTGAGCTGTTGAAATTACAACTTTACATACACCATATAAACATGATTTCTAATTTGATTTC